TTTGACGGCGCCACATATTGTATAGAAGGGGGCCGCAAATTTATCCTTGAGAGATTCTCACAAGCCATTTTCATGGTGAACTGTGCCTTTGATGGAGCTATATGTTATATTCTCTCTGTTCCAGTCTGCATCTCCACACAAGTGTTGAGAGCTGGCTGACGGAAGAATCACTGTCATGACACTATGCAATCAACATGATTGCAAAAAGCACTGAAGTAGAGCACGTCAAAACTTTACATGTGACAAATCACACAGAATCTTTACCTCAATAACAGTTCGTTGGGTTGAGTAACTATGAAGCTGTATGATTCCTTCAACTTACGACTGTTCACCGGGAGATACGTTGGACAACCTTTGCCTTATTATACCACCAAATTGATGATTAACACTTAAGAACCAACCGGTCGTGAGAAACGATACGGTGCAGAAACATGTCGCATAGAATCCGATTCCATGTTACCAATGGGGGGCACCTTATACCCGTCCACGAAGAAATCGCCGGCTGAAAGATACTTCACGCAAATGTTGTTGATATAAAACGACGTTGAACTTATTAATTATAAGATGGTAAAAATGTTAGCAAGATTCGTAAGCAATCCCAATCTACAAACTGCTGAGGGTGTGAAGGATTTCTTTTGTAGTTTTCTGAAAAGTTCAAGTAAGGATTCGGAGGTTAAGTGCTTCGCCCACAACCCAGCACAGGTGATTCACACTGCGAGTTCCAGCGAATTTGCGCGCGGTCCGGCGATGCCTCGATGGAAGACTCAACCTTTACAATTGACTACCTCTTAACCCCTCTGATCTACTGCTGCTTCATGAATACAAAACCTTCCAAAAAAGATCATTTAGCGGTGCGGTAACTGTTCAAAATTGATAACTCCCTCCTAGTCCCATTAGCAAACGAGCACAACCTTCAGAGCATGAATTTCCGTTTTTGGATGGGTTAGTGGCGCTTCTCTAGCGTCACTCTAGGTCGTTTTAGCTCTACGTTGTCGCACATAATCCGATTCTCATCTACTGCCACCATTCGCTACCACGTGCCGATTTTCGTTACGTTTAAGCAACGATTTTCTCTTTCCTGATTTTCATTTTAGGTACCCGAGTCTAATGTAAGCATCACAAGTCCACAAAATATCTTCGACGATGAACTGGAAAATAAGGGTAGGTACGGCCTCTTAATATTCCTCAGGCTCAGCAGCAGAAACAACTAAAGTTAGACACTAACCACACGAGGGGCTGAACGTTCAATAAGACTTGTGGTTGCACAGTATTAATCAGTTTTATATTCCGAATACAAAGTCCTAAAGAAATCTGATTTTTGGCGATACCCTCACCCAAACATTGGATCCGAGCAGTTCCATAAAAGCAGTATCGATCACCGCGGAAAAACACCATTACAACGGAGCCGGAGCTCGAACAAAGAAAAGTTTGCGAGCAAATCCTGAACACAAAGTTTTTGATTCTTCAAGGTTTTTATGTATAAGTTTTGTAGAAGTAACGAAACCGGTCTTTAGTAGAAGGCGTAGAAAGATCGTTGGAGCTTCGTTTTGGCATGAGACTGTAAAAAAGGTTAATAGTTAAAGCAACACTTCAACAGAGTGATTTCGATAATTAGTCCACCGCGAGGAGCATCACTTCATAAAAAACGATCTGCTCAATTGAATATTTATTCGTACAAAACTCAAGAGATGCACAAAAATACAGTAGAAGAGATCGGTAACCCGAGGTTACAATCCGTAGCAGGCGAAAAAGGCTCCTACAAGCTAAGCAGACATACGACTCATTAAAAATGAAAACGGAAACTCCGTTCATGCGACTCCACCGGTATTTCTATGATGCATCGTGTATGTAACGTGCGTATATTTCAAGAAGAATATATTGTAAAATGAAATAGACTGTTTGTGATTTTATCCCAGCAAGATCACTGTGTAAACGGGTTTGTGCCTAAATTGCTTCATGGTTGCAGAGGATTGTAGGCTTGCTGAACGTGCCATGAACTCCATTCACCGATGTAGTTGTAAGTCAAAGAGATTCGTGTCTGAAAACTCAGCATTACTACCGAAGTAGTGGGCACGTGTAACTGAATGAAGTATGACTGGATTTCTTGTCCGATTCTGTGCACTTTTAATATGAGGTGGTGAGCAGAACTAATGGGACGAAGCGATGTAGTAGCAAGTGGCGTACTTTAACACGCGCACAGTCCGGGGTTGAAATTGCGAATCAACTCTACCCAGGAAGACGGCACCCCACCTCTTCAGGGTCGACTAATTGGCAACAGACACGTCTGCGAAGATAAAAGCAGGCTTGCATATCGGCTGGCCACCGCATATCATTGTAGAGACCACACACACATTCAGTACGCTAATACGACTCATTGTCAGAATGGAAGTCGAATGCAGTGGTGCATACCGAAATGGGATTGATCAACGCCGCAGGACTTTATCATTTTTCACCCTGAACAGAACGTCTGGTGATGGAGAAGGAGGGAAAAGAACAGAGAAGAAAATATTCGAGCGGGGCCTGTCCTTGAATAAACTTTTTTCTTAGTCGGGGGAAAGTGAAGCATAAATCTGGTACACCATTACTCAGTAGAGGTTTGAATCGTCGCGCCAGGCATCTCATTTTTAAACCTCGAGCTTGGCATAGTGCTGATACCGGTCATAGCCTAAAATGAAAAGCCATGACACGATTGTAGAAGCCAGTCGTCTAGCCCTCTATGACATGCTCCAGCTTCAAAAGATGACGAAGAACAGAATCTAGCGTGCACTATGCCCAGTGCCCTAAACTCCGCTTATGAAGAGCTGATCGGCAATTTTCACGCTCCTCACTGGCTGATGGGGTAAAGGCGAAAGGCCAGTGGTGATCGGCACCGAATTCGATCGATTAACACGTATTCAATGCCTCAGGTAATTTAGCATTTGCGCCTTCAGAGCGCTTCAGCACACCGGCTTCTTTGCTCAACGCGAGGTAGCGAGCAGTTATAAAATGAGTAAAAAAAATCGAAGTACGAAAAAGAAGGGTCAATAACAGAGCCACGTGCCCTTCAGGTAAGGCCTATCGCTCTCACTTTTCGCCTATCCGCCACAATGAACTATGACGCGGATAGCATAGCATAGTATAGCAAGCGAAAACCCATCAAGGCGATCACGTGGTGTTGGCCGCTACGGCCCAATTTTACCTGTATATAAGAAATCACACTCATTGAGGGTTCTCTCACACTAACGGACTTCTAACTGATTGTTGGTGAAGCTACGTGGCGCGACCCTAACTGTCGGATAGGGGATTGATTCTGCTGAGGTGAGTAGATTCATACCTTTCAACTACTCGTAGTATATCCAAGCATGGGTGTATGGAGATTCTAGAGATACAGTTGGTATCCTGTACATCGAACCAGCCCAAGTTTCGCATTTGAGTGATTGAAGAGCAAGCTACCACAGGTTCCTCGAAAAGGAGAAGGAATAACAAGGTGTTAGGATCCAACGTAAAACCCAACGAATAATCGCTTCCTAGTAGGCCTGTATCGAGGATTAGGTAATCCAAAAAAAGAAAATTGAGTAGGACGTTAATGGACTGACTGAGGAGTTCGAATTTTTCGCCGTTTAGAATGCGGAAAAGAACTTGGTTGGAACGCATGCAACAACAGAGAGCGTACGAAAGCTCAACTTCCCGAATCGGATGATAGCGATTGGAGAGATGTAACCCTTACTCGAACAATTTTTAGAACCGTTACAGAAGAACATGTCTACGTACGAACATAAAGCTACGCTAAAGAAGAGCTGAAAGTTTTATAAGGACCTTTGAAGCTTCACAGAAAGAACCATAGTTCTTCAAAACATTGTCGGTGACGCGAAGATTGGCCCAGAAAACGGCTCAAGAGCTTCACATTGAGACTCATGGATCAAAATGGATGAGCCGGGTGAAAAACTGTTCGAGTTTATCATGTCGACCCATACCCCTCATGGTGATTCGCAGTTTCAGAAGCCCTCGCACTTGCGGTTGACATACAAGTCACCTGGTAGACAACTTTATAGCGAAACAGAACACATTATTTATAGTCGAAAGTTTTGACTGACTCCCATCGCTGAACTTACGGGATNGCTACAAGAAACGAAACCCTAAGACCGTCATCATTCGTGATCATTCCGCTTTAATTTAGGAGAATACCCATAATCGACAGCCGTGATGGAGAGTACAACCGGTTCGTAGTACATCTTGTCGATAGTAAAGGATAAAGGATAAAATCTCGAGGCGTTAATCAATCACGTCTGAAGGATGCGCCCACGCAATCGACTTCCATTCAGAAACATAGTGGCATGCTAAATGCGTATGTGGACCATTCAATGAATTGCTGTGGCCAGCCGATGTACAAGTCAGTGCAGTTATTCTCCCATACGAGTCTGGTACCAATCGACCGACCTCGATGACATGGAGGGCTTGGTTGGCCGGGGCGAATATCGATCCAAGATTCAAACCCGTGACCACGCGAGTGAGATAGTGCGCCGCTCACCGCTATTCACCTTCGCCCCATTTTGCCGATAGCGCTAGAAAAACAGAGAATCCACAAACTGCCGAGGGACACCTCTGAAGGCTCTCGAACTGATGTAGCGAGGAAACATGCGAGCCGAAGGCAACCGGTGCCTGTGAACTTATAAACATTTCAAAGAAATCATCTTGAATAGGATTGGCAGAACACTGATGATTAGGAGATTCGACGATTTTAGAAAAAGAAGGTCGCAAGAATCGATCTTTTTCAGCACAGTTTAAACCCAGAAGCATAATACTCGGTACAATCGATTGCATGCGCTCTGTCCCACAACTCACTCCTATACTGTTTTGATGATGCTGAGACGGATAAGGACCATTTAAAGATCACAGTGCACAAATGTGTAAGTTCCTTCCACAAAGCACTCACACAACTGAAAAAATGGTTTGAGGAATTAAAATTTTGTAGTACAAAGCGTGAACTTACTGCGAATAATTGTAGCGAGCTTTCCAATCATTCAATCAGATAGAAAAGATAATTTTGATAGCGATTCGACGATTTGAGAAAAAGAAGGTCGCAAGAATCGATCTTTTTCAGCACAGTTCAAACCCAGAAGCATGATACCTTCACACCAAGCCACGACAACACCTACAGCTTATTATATTTCATCTTCGCAAAGCTAATATAAAAAATCAGAAGTTGAAGTAAAAAACCTTGGTTTCTCATGGATGGCGTCCGTTTGTCCATTAGAGTTTCAATCCATCCAAGAGACGGATGACCCGAATTCCGCATATGCGAATCTCTCCTGTTGATGCAATAGTCACCAAGACTTGGTGGTACGCGTGAATCCAGGAAAGCCCTCATACCCAAAAACCAATATATAAGTTTGAAAAATAACTTAAAGTTCAACAAATGTCCAATGCAATACCGATACCTGTGCATATCTCCAGCAGAACAATGCCAAAGCTGTACACGTCAAGCTTGGTGGATAATATCTTATTCGTTATAAATTCAGGTGGTAAATAAGCAAGAGTTCCTTTAACATGGGAAGCTATCAACGGAGACTTTTCCTCAGCATCTGCTTCAACCTTAACAAAGAGTTGCCAATAGAGTATTAAACAACAGATAACAGTACGATTTCGTAACAAGCATAGAATTTTGCAGATAATAACAAAATCTATTATTGAAACTTTCTACGCCGACGCCTCAGAACCTTGTTTGGCCTTCATCATCATGATGAGATCACCAGGTTCAGCAGAGAAGCTCGGCAGTATGAAGCTACTTATTCACGGTATATCTGAGGCGACGCGCCACTGTGACCCGGAGAATCCTCAGAGGAAGCTATATTTTTTTTTAGCCATGCACATTTTTCTGAATGATTATTGGCCAGCATTTAACATGCCTTACTGAGTTTATGAGCTCCGTTTACCCCAGAATGAGAGCAGAGATAGTTTTCATCTGTCAAACTCTACAATCTTAGAAAAGAGACCCCATGTTGACATTTTATATCTCGGATATACTTCGGAACAAAACGAAAACTAATTTGAAAATATCGTGTTAAACTAGAAACGCAGAGCTACCTTCCCATCTCGGCTTAACCCGAAATCACCAAGTTTTGGTTCAAAGTGTCTGTCTAGCAATATATTCGCCGACTTCACGTCTCCATGAATGATGGGCACACTCCCTATTGAGTGCAAGAAATGAAGACCGCGAGCGGTGCCCTCAGCTATTTCCCTTTTCTGCTTCCATGAAAGTGGAGGAGTTCCATGCTAAACCGAGAATGAATCAAGAGACTGCGATCGTTTTATTATGGAATTCCAAAAAACCCACTCTGCACGAAAGACGATCTTCCAGAGAACCATTCGACATGAACTGGTACACAAGACATGGTTCCGGACCTTCAAGGGAAAACGCGTACAAAGGAAGAATATTGTCGTGACGAAATTTGGCAAGAGTTTTCAACTCCTGGAGGCTCTGCCGGAGTCGCTCTCGTTGAACCTTAATCATCGCGCGAATTCCTTCCAAATTAAAATTTCAACAGGCTATTCCTTAAAAGGGCTAGTCTTGAATAACTTCAAGTTCTCTCACAAAATAAACCAGGATTGTTAGAGTGCCATCTTTAACACATGTGACGCGCTCGCCTCTTTTTGTCTGTTTGTTTGTCACAAAATTCGAAAGTATTATTTACTTGAAGAAGCACCGAGTAAAGTTTGGAATAGGTTCGCCAAAGAAAGGACAAGTCAACAGAGCCTATTAGAGCTGAGCAGAGGGGCAGAACATACGCAGGGGTGGGCAATGAGAAAAACATGACTTTGAGAAAAATGGGCCAAGTTGAGGGAAAGGTTAACTTAATGAAGGAGACTGAACCGTGATGGGCGGAGTGTCTTAACAGTGAATTGGCACTCCGTACACAAATTCATAAGTCATATTCAATGAAATTCTGGGGCAGAAAAAATTATGGAAGGAATGGGCAAGGAGCACTATAGGCTGGGCCCCCGTGGACTAAGCGAAGCTCTGTCTGGGACCGGCTGAGCGTAAAGATGTATGTACTTTAATCGAAAAAGATTACAAAATTATTTGAGAACGAGCCAGAACGCGGCCAGATTCTAAGGAAAGAATGCGGTCAAATCCTAGAAGCGGGTGGAGCTTGCATCGTGGTAGGCGGAGTTACGACCAAAAACTCAACTCAGTTCAGAAACGTTTAAGAATGCGCGCAAAAAGGGCCGAAGGGTATTGTAGGGATATGGCCAAAAGCGGAGTTTGCACTGGGGTAGGCAGGGCTGGAACTAAAAATCTACAGCTCTCTTCAAAAACCGCGGGAAAGCCACTCGAGATTAAAAAGGGGTGTGGCCAAATCCACAGTGGGGGCGGTTCCCGTACTGGGTGGGCGGAGCCAAGATCGAAAATCCGTAACTCTGTTCAGAACGATTTCGAACGAAAAAGTGGTTTGAGGCTGTAGGAAAAAAAGTGATGAGAACCCCGAAGTAAACTGAGAGTGCACTCGGTTGGGAGGGGCTAAGATCAAAAATTCACAACTCTGTTCAAAAATGTTCTATAATGCGAAGATTTTCAGGAGTAGCTAAAAGGAGAGTGGTCAAATACTTGCGGGGGAGGGTTCTGCAATGTGGCGGGCGGAGCCGCCAATAAGCATCCGTAACTCTGCTAAAACGTTCTAGAATCCTAAAAAAGTGGGTAGACGCTGTTGAAACAGAGATCGTCATACCCTAAATTTGGCTTGCACTGAGGCGGGCGGAGCAAACATCAAAAACCCTCAAGTCTCCGACTTTTCAAATTCGTTCAATCTGTCTCAAAATTCGGTATCACCTGGAGAAGTCGAGCTCCCCCCCGTCATGAGCTGAACAAGACACCGCTCTAGACGGGAGAGGAGTTCATGAAGTCTGTCGGGTGTGGGTGTGCGCCTATATGCGTCAATTATGGAAGGGTTGTGGGTGACAGACCATTTTCACACGAAAAAGTATACCGCGATATGTCCTTTTCACGCTGACATCAATCCACTTTCCAAACTTGCATGGAGATTTTGAGGAAACAGTTACGAAATAACCTTCTTCCCATTTAATGAAAATCGTCAAACAGGAAAATAGTCGTGACACTGAGACATTCGTACAGCTGGTATGAGGAATGACTCAGGAACGTGACAAGACGTGCCATAGTAGGCAACGACAGTAGGCTAACAATCATGCTGGCGGCTTTCCTAATCTTTGGTTGAAAGCATGTGTATGAATTTCTGAGTGATAAACAAGCCTGCTCATTGTCTGTGGACCGGCATTTGTATCATTTCAAGAATCCTCTTTGCCCTGTTGTTATTTCTATCTTCGCAGAAGTGAATCTTTAATTATCACAATCACGCGGGAGCTGAGGCCGTATATAAGGTTAGCCTTCCACCAGTGAGTCTGAATCACATCTAGTCCGAGAGCTTACTGGACCGTTGCTGGCTTCTGGGTGGTCGCGGGGATCGGACTGATCGACGGTGAGTGGCCCAACTTACAAATGCGTGATGACCTCTCAGGTCTCGAATTCCTGTAAGGTAGTTGATGGGTTTGTTCGGGTAATCATGAATTGCTTCGATTGTTCCAGGCTCTGAAGAAGGCGATCCGCGCCGAAACGTTAGCCGGAATAAAGTTGTTTTCTTATCAACCTCGTTCGAGTTCAAGCAAAGAAAACCAACGTTTGCACTATGCCGAGGTTTAGAGATAGCGTACATGGCGAATCTTTAATTCGTGCGTTTAATTACTCAAAAACCACGCTTGTTCCCCTTACACTGAACCCATGTATCTTGGCGCCACTCTATTTCCAGAGATGAACTCGCCAGCAAAAGGATCCATTGGCAACTGCTTATTCATTATCAAGATAGAAAAATTCGAATGAAATCCAGTCTTTTATCGTGCGGAATGCTGACCGCCACAGCCCACTACTGGTCTGCAAAAAGCGTCTTGAATTCGGATAGGCGGAGAAAAATTGGCTAGCGGCAAGCGTTTGAAAATTTGGTTCCTAGTCAAACCATTACTTGGAGAGATTCTAGAGGAGTCACTTCCAGAAAAAAAGAGGAACGCTCACCTGTGCATTCTTGGATCCAGTTGCCATGAATCGCTTCACTGCTATTTTGGTTCGCTTCCACTCCCCAACATAGACGACCCCATAGCCTCCTCTGCCAAGGATATTGTCTTCGGAAAAGTTCTGTGTTGCTATCTTCAAAGGACAGTGTCAACACGGGTTAGGAAACTGCAAACATAGAACACACCTGCAAATCAGAGTAAGGTACCGTAAGCGTATTTTGAAGCGCTGACAAAATAGGATCTGACATGTTCCTAAAAGTAATCGAAAATGGCATCGAATCAATGGCGGTTCCTTAATGGAATTTCCATTGTATCCTTCTGTGATTCTCAGACTTTAATTTCTACTTACAGCTAATCTGATCTCTCTGAGCGCCTCTAATCTGCATCTCTTACACGTCTACACTTACTTGCTTGCCTCTAACAAGATTTTTTTCTTCACCCCTTCATCGTAAGGCTGCGAATACGACGGCACATGCAATATCACTATAATACATAGCATATCACTTTCATGAACATTACTTGGAATGATAGAATGCCCGTCAAATTGAAAGGGAAAAGATAGCTTTTCACTGCTTGAAAAAGAGTGAAAAGAATGGTGGTGATGGGAAGAGGATTGTTCCCCGAACGTAAAGTCGGTTCGAGCTACAATTAAAAGATTGGATATCGCAATTATAAAGCAAATCGACAGTCAACATTTTTTTTTCATAAGTCCAAACGCTGAATGTGGAGTAACAATCACCCCTGACGATGAAACAGAGGCAANTGCCGGGGTCGGTTAATTGGTATCAGACTCTCCTGGGAGGATAAAAGCACTAACTTGCACATCGGATGGTCGCCGCAAGTCATTGCATAGGCCACATACGCCTTCATTACGCCTCTACGATTCTAAATGGAAGTCGAAATAAGGGGCGCATCCCTCCCTCAGACGGCGAAGGACTTTATTCTTCTACTTTATGTCATAATTAAATGATTTGAACTTCTACATATGACCTTGCTTTTGCATGCGCAATTAGAATAACAATATTAGAAGTAGTAACATTTATAACCACAACATTAGCTCAGCTGAACCTCAATATGAAGGCAGCAGAGTCCACCAGGCAAGTGAGTTCCCATATTGGATAGTGAATGGAATTACAAAGATGCCTTATTTGAAAACTCCCTAGTCTCCTGTCCCTCTCTCCATCAAAATCCTTCCTGGCTGCTTTCATGGTCCACGATTTGGCCCACGACTGCTCGAGTGACCGATCGCGGGCCAAATCGTGGACTATAAAAGCAGCCCCTACAGTGCCTCTATCGATCTCAATTTCTCATGTCTTATATCATTAAAGAGGGTGTAATGAGTAACATGAAGTTTTTTTCTACCTTCCTTCTACCTGGACGGTCAACTCGACACGTCTTATTCATTTTCTACCCTGCTTTTTTTGTAAGCAGATCTTTAGCAAGTTGGTTATTTTATGGTAGCACGGTCCTCCTCTCAACTTCACTCCTGTTGCCGTCAACAAGAGATCGGCAGCCAAATGGGCATCTCCGAAAAAAAGGCAGGGTTTTTTGTTTTTTTTTTGGTCATGAAAGCCTTTTCTATTTCATTTGTATGCATCAAAGTGTACTCATCAGCGTGTCTTCACACTTCACTTCGTGTCATCACCTGTCTCTTTCCTTATTAGCAGTATTATCACCTGTATCACCTGTCACACCGTAGATCACTGAATTCGGTGACTTCATTCGCCCGTGCCGTGAGCCAGAGTGGTCCACTGAATCGTAGTCCTTCGAAGGCCACAAAGCACGACATTCCTGTCTATAAGAACGTTTGCAGAGATCTGATCACCACACTGGCGCTCGTTTGATGTGCCGAGGATCCAGTAAGTGTTCGGCTCATCCGATCATCGACTTCTTGGCGTTAGCACCGGCACCACTGATCTCCTCTCGGTGGCGGAGCTCAGAACTCCTGACTCACTTGTGCACTTGCGTGTACAGGGAAATATAAATATGCATCGTCCTTTTATGCACTCCAAATGGGCACGCAGCATGTTCACCTTGCATCGAAAAGATGAGCGCCGAGCCGGATGTTCTTGTTTTCTCCACTACTCCCTAGATATTAAGAAACGTTCCCTACGTCGCCCTTTTCCTTCCAAGTTCTTCATGTTGACTTTTGCACGTAGGTGGAGCATTCGGAGATATTCCTTCCGTTTAGCATAAGGGGATCAACAGGTGCTGATCCGTTTTCACGACGTTCAGCCTCTTCTACAAGCGCTGTCGAATTTGGTCAGCATTTGCACAACCTGCTCGGCTCTCGCTGTTACAAAATCATGGATGCCGAAATTCAGAAACTTCTAAGACAAAAGAAACTTCTTAATTCATTTTCAAACGCTATTACATAGTTGTACAAGTAGGTTCTCTTGCAACATGCATGGTTGCTGAAGCCAGACCCCAAAATCCCTTGGATGGTTAAGGATGCAATGCTACTTGCAATCATTCGCACGTAATATTCGGAAGGGTATAGTGGAATCTTTTGATTCCAGCAATGACCGAACAGAATGGTGATAAACGATATAGGGAAGCGGAATCAATCAAATATTAAGCCAGAGAGATTAGAAATTCCGTGAACCGATGGTAATCCTAGGCGCGCCATTGAAAGGACGACAACAGAGCAGAACTCATCGAAGATGCCGACAAACAAAACGATCGCGTTCAGTATAGAAACATCGAAAACGCAATCTATCACGAAGAAGTTGTTACAAGAGCATCAAAATGATGTTCACAGAGAGCCGCGGACAATGTTAAGACGCCATTGGTTTCGTCGATACCGACGTGGAAATTACAATAACAAAGATGTTTACCTAATGGGGATATTGACTGATGCATTGTAGTATTGATCCTACTCCACATCCTGAAACATCCCGTGGTCCTTCCAGCAAGACGGTACTTTGACGCAGAGAGCCAAGATCGCCTAGAAGCTGCCGACACAGTTTGTAGCCCCTGTGAAGGGGGTCGAGGAGGAGAAAAAATGCAGGGATAACTGCGTGCAACATGCGAGGAGTTCGTAAACAGTCTCTACTGTTTCCGAACTCCTCGCATGTTGGGCTTTAGGTCTCTACTTGTGCTAGTGGGGATACTTCGAATTGCGATATTAGCTTGTTTTGCACAAGATGTAAACAAACGTGAATTCCATTGCTTTCTCAGCTTAGAAGCCTCGAATACAATACAATAGAGTAGGCGACGATAATTTCGGAGCACTCTGTATAAGCATGATGTCGTTAGCAAAGCGTAGATGATGTAAGTAGCGGCCGCCAAAATTCACTCCCAAAATTTGCCATTCTAAATGACGCACGATACTCTCGCAGAGTAGAAAAGTTAGGGGAAATGCCATTGTCCTGCCTAAGCCCTCTCTTCACGTTGACAATGACTTCTTAAAAGTCATGCGTAGTTCGGTGAATTCAGAAATCATGCACATCCAGCATGTCGTCGATCTTTCATCTTCATTCTTGAAGAACACTGCATTACTACGTCTCTGAATGCCACATTTTTCCACTTAACACATCCAGCTAGTTATTCAGCACTTACTCGAGAAGATTTTGATACTTGTCTGTGAATAACCTAAATAAGAAGTAGAAAAGGTGACTGGAGCTGAAAGAGCACGTTTGCACCCAGTCATGGGACAGCGTATAGAACGCAACAGAGAAACACATAAAAAATGAGGAAATCATAGACACACTAAGAAATCGTAGCAGATGCTTACCCTGATGAAGTTGTCTCACTGCTTGTTGAAGCTCCACCGGATTTCTGAGAAGCAGAACTATAACCACTCACGAGTTTTTGTTTCTGAGCATCTTCACGCCTAACTGATGCCAAAGAAGCCTGTAACAAAATACATATAAACATATATGCATACATATACATATACATAAGTACATACATACATACATACATACATACATACATACATACATTATTTGCTGCTAGCACTAATCATAACGCAATTGATCAATTCCAAAAATGCCACACATAACCTCTGCTCGCAAATTTATAAATCCAAGTAGGACATGCTATCGTGCTCAAAAAAGCCAGAGTCATGAACTGACCACATGCTGTCCCTTGAAATATTGGACATCACTTTGACTTGGTGTCGGTAAGCTGGAGTCATCCGCACAAAGGATATATTCTTCCAGATAGTGATGAGACTCTGGTACTTAAATTTATGTTCATTAATTGCGACATACTATACTATAAAACAGTTCGCGACAATTTTGAGGTCTTCTTTTTGGGGTGATTAGATGAGATTTTAGAGCAACTGCGCAAATGTAATTGTATTCCAGTATTAGAACAGGGCTTGTGATAACCACTTGTTTTCAATTTTTAACACGTGCTCCTTTGTGAGAAGTGCATCTTCTACATGGAAACGTCCCAAAAGGAACTTTCGAGAGCCCATTTTATGGCGAACTTCACATTCAAAATTACGACACGATTCATCCACAAGGCAACGGGGGAGTAGCATGAATTGGGAAAGTAGATGGGGCTGCAGTCGACAACAACGCAGACAGCAAAAGCGCCCTAGGTGTTCTTCTTTAAGGCCTTGGCCTCTATGTTACAATTTGCGAAGACAAAACCCGTATGATTGCCTCTTCTCAACATGCATATCCAGCTTGAGCGAGGGTTCTTGCAGGCAAAATTGTACAGGAAACCACCAGCAATAATATTTAAGTTCATTTTGGGCCGACGCATCCACACAAAAGTAAGCGGGCGATCACGGCGAAAACGGATGGCCAAGAACAACTAGAATCCGTGAAGCTTGCTAGGAAAGTGGCGATTTCCGATGGGTATCCACTGAGGAAGATCACCCGTTGGAGACCACAGGAGTTAGCAACCGAGAACGCGAAGAAGTTGCCTTTTTGCTGCCACATTCCGTCAGTTCAGTCATGGGGACGGCTTTGCGTGTGGTCTCGATGAGACTGTCCCAGTGGTTAAAGTTCCTTCTACGGAACTAAGGCAGAGACTGGTCTAAAACCGCCTCCGGGTCATTTCTGCATTACTCTCCACCCCCCCACCCCCTCCATTGTGTCATCTTTCATAACGGGTGAGGAGGTGACCCCATGGTTTGTATACATGATTATATGAAAGTTCTGCGAAGATGAATTTACAGGCGAGACCACCGAAAGACCTCTAATATGAA